GATCTTTATTTAACCGGTCAATTTCTTCCTCTGATCTTTATTTAACCGGTCAATTTCTTCCTCTGATCTTTATTTAACCGGTCAATTTCCGGTCAATTTCTTCCTCCGATCTTTATTTAACCGGTCAATTTCTTCCTCTGATCTTTATTTAACCGGTCAATTTCTTCCTCTGATCTTTATTTAACCGGTCAATTTCCGGTCAATTTCTTCCTCAGATCTTTATTTAACCGGTCAATTTCTTCCTCTGATATTTGTTTACTCGGTCAATTTCTTCCTCTGATCGTTGTTTACCCGGTCAATTTATCTGCCTTGTCTTTATTCACTAGGTCTGTGTTTTCCAGGTAATTTCTCCGTCTGATCTATGTTTACTTGGTCTGTGTTTTCCCGGTAATTTCTCCCTCTGATCTTTGTTTACAAGGTCACAGCGGTGAAATGTTTTTAAATCTTTTAACAGGTTCTTTTGAATGACTTTTAATGATAAATACTGATAATTTGCCTTTAGCTTTATTTATTTATTTATTTAAGATTAAGGTAACAAGTGTGAGATGTATACCAGGTGAGCGATGCAGGCCCATTGGGCCTCTTGTTTTATGTTATTATGAAGCAGAGTTGTTCAGAACTTAACAGGGAGTCAACTGACCAAAGGTCCAGGTTACAGGGTCCAAAGGTTCTAGGTCAAGGTCAAGTTTTGTATTTTTCTCTGATGAACATTTTGTTATGATATTATAAAGCAAAGTTGGTCGGAATTAATGAATTAGTCACCTGACCAAAGATCAGGGTCGCTGGGTTAAAGGTCAATGTCATTTGGGTTCAAATGTCAAAGACAAAGTGGATCTCTTACTTTGACCATGGCTTTTGATGGGGGAGGTATTTAAGGTGAAGTAAAACAAATCAAAGCGAACAAATGAGTATTGCACGGTATTTGCATTTTTGTTAGCCCAGCAAATATGGAGGTGGAAGGAGACAAGACTCACATCATAGTACATGTAAATGTATATATTGCTACCTTTTGATTCTTTTTGAAGTCCAAATGTCAAACGTCAAGGTCAGCTATATGGGCAGATTGCTTCTTGATGATTATAGGGGATATATTGCCACAAGACGGGGCCCTTACTGTCCTGTCGGTGTTCTCGTTATATATAGGAATACTGCAGATTAATCATCTTATAATCGAAAAAAGAAAATAGCAATTTCTTCAATCAGTTTCATCAGTCACTCGGTCTTGAAACGTTGCGACACGTTTAATACGTACATTGTTTGTGCATAAAGTAAACCTTTGATATTAGAATAATGGTTGAAAACTTATTTCAGACTAAATATCGTCGTTAAAGTGTGGCAGACCACATCCACACTTTGTCCTCCTTCAACAACAAGGTATTTTACATGTGATTCGAAAACTGGAGCGCTGTCCTGTAAGAAGCCGGGTAAGTGTACAACCCATATTTTTTCTAACATCCCACTTATCATTTTAGGATTATGGGTTAAATGAATTGGACGTTTTGAAATGGTAATACCATTCTTCTTTTTTTTTTATCTTATATGTGCTGCTATAGCTTACACTATTGAGGTAATCGCTACGTGGAGTGGAAACACATGTTTAATACATTGTAGGAAGTGATTCGTTGCAGTGAGACCAACAGAATAAACCTTTACTTTATTATACAGCCATTTCATCCAATTCAGAATTAATCAGTGTTGATAAAGGTCTGAAGAAAAAGGGAAAAGGTTACAATGAATTCCTTCATAGCTTTACAAATGATAAAAATTGGCTAACATATTTGATTTATTTCTGGACTATGATTTGATATTCGTACCAGAATAAATTCCAGTTACAAGGTTATAGACAACCTCGGGGCTTGACAGTCCCCCAGCAGAGCACGGACAATCTCGGGTACTAAAAGTCCCCCAGCAGAGTACGGACAATCTCGGGGACTAAAAGACCCCCAGCAGAGTAAGGACAATCTCGGGGACTAAAAGTCCCCCAGCAGAGTACGGACAATCACGGGGACTGACAGTCCCCCAGCAGAGTCAGCCACATTTTAACACAAAACTGTCACTAGAAACATATGTTGTAATTAAATGTAAAATATTGCAACCTTTGGTAACGTTCTGATATATCAAGATGATATAAGCTATCAAACTGTATCTTCTCTGTACCTATCTACATTGTTCCTCATTGCTTCAGCCGAAACGTCTGGGTTAAGTTTGACGCTATCCATAAAAAACACTGACTGATCTTTTTCAATAAGCAATATCTACACATGCGCTAATAGATGAAATTTACTGGTCGATTTCCTGAATAAAAAAAAAGTGATTCATAAGTCATTGATTCCCGTCATGATTACCATACATTTGTGTAGCTATTGTACAAAACATGTGACATCTCCATTATCCAATCAATATATGTGAAACTTGTGAAGGAATGTTGACTTTCTTTCGACAATTGTATTTTCATATTCCAAGGCTGAATTCCGGCTGTTCGAAATTGGTATTTTGTTTAATTTGTATCTTCCCAATGATATCAAAATGGCTGTGCTATTACCCCCATTATGATATTTTATTATATACTATAAATGTACTTGTTTTAGCGAACTCAGACTCTAGCGCATTATCGATTTTTAACATATAAGAGCATTGGTTTCCTGGCGCAGCCATTATATATTTAATAGGAAACAGTAAAAATAAGACAACCACTAATGTTTGTAAATGTTACGATACATTTTCTTCGTGATAAAAACCTAACATTCCATTTATTATAAAGATTATATACTAAACGAAGCATCTTCGATGTAGACATGTATACAACAGGGTAAGCTGTAGAGTTTGTGTGACTAGCCGTGTTCACCGTTGAAATACTGTTGTTCACTGGAAATACCTGAACAGTTTATATACAACTCCAAACATAAGACTGTCGACGCTGTTGTGAGCAGACGACATTCATGTCAAATGGTGGACTCTTTGGTATTCTGTAGATGTATCCTGTCGGACCAAGATTTTGTGGAAAATCGTGGATAAATTTCAACATGAAATAGACGAAATCCTTTTAATTCCAGGTCCTGCTGTACTGCGGCTTGATTCCACTGTACCGGTGGCAAATCGTGGTCAATTTCAAACAGGACTGATGACTCTTGCGAACGCAAATTTATGCACCAATTCCATGAAATATAGAAACACAAACCGGTGGAGATCATCTGGGTAAGGAAATATATATAAAGGTAATTGTAAAGGTTTCTCAGCATAAAATGGCATACGAATAAAGTAGTTTTAGTTTAGTCTTTCCACCAATATATGTCAACGCCAAGTAAAAAGACGATTTGAAAAACACATTGCAATGTCGATAGCATTATTTTCCGTAAATGTTGGTTTCCGATTGTTATATCCTATGATTACTTACACAATGTATATATGTTCGTATTGGTGAAGTTGAACGTTCCAATAATCTAGTAATTCGTTTAACCTCCATTGTGTTGTGCTGATAAACGTAGGCATTCCAATGTATTCATTGACATGCATTAAAGCATTTGTTTAGCATACTTTTGATTACAATATACTCTTTAATTTCCAGGGGAAAGCAGACGTTCTGGTTTAATTCATACTGTAATGCGGTATCAATACCAGCAATCAAGATACAGGCCATGCTGGCCACGGCAAACACAGCATCATTATCAAAGTTGATGAAACCTCAAATTGGACAAGTTCAAGCCGTTTCCTCACATCCGGTATACAAATCAACTTATCAAATAACAGTGAAAGTGATTTGTTACATTACGTTTCTGCCTCTGGTTTTTTGTGTCGCCTGCGAAAAGCTGGTGACACATAGGTATTGCTATTTCGGCGTCGGCGTCGTCGGTGTCGGTATTTTCGTGCGATTACTTGAGTTTCCTTGGGCCGATCAAACTCAAACTTCATGCAGTGCTTCCTTACCAAAAGTGTTTGCTTTTCAGGTCCAAAGGTCAAAGGTCAATGTCACTGTTAGTATAAATAGAAAATCTATTTTCGTGCGATAACTTGAGTTCGCTTTGGCCGATCAAACTCAAACTTCATGCAGTGCTAAGCACAATATCCCAGCTTCCTGCGCAGGCGACACATCCACTTCCGTGGAATTCTTTTTTAACAACATCTCTCTCTATTCTTTGTTCATCCGGTCAGTTATACCCTCTGTTCGTTTTTACCAAGTTAATTTCTCTCTCAATCATTGTTTACCTGGTCAGTTTTTCCCTCTTGTCGTTGTTTCCTGGTTAATTTCTCCAACAAAGCGTCCTGGCATCTGACAATGTAATACAGTACTAATAGACATTTTGTTCTCCTTCTGTTGTTAAATGTAAAAGGAATAATGTTATGTTCATGTGTTTAGAGTCCGAACGTGTTCATGGCCGTACGTGTAATGTCCTACGTCAACCACGACGGCTCGTCCAGGGGATCAGGAAGTAACCGGAAGTGCTGTGACACCAATGTACGTGTTGGACACTGCAGCAGTTCCGACAAATGTGATCCAGTGTTCCGTATCTGTATTGGAGGAAGGTAAACGTGTTTTGATAGCTTGTTTTAGATTTGAAATGTTGGTCAACTTCGATTTTTTTTACATATAGGTAATAATCATAGAGCTGTACAATTAATATTCATGTTTTAATAACAACGGTTCACGTTAAAATATAGCAAAGCTTATAAAATATTACTTTGACTACGATGGATGGTTTAAGTGTTCCCGTTTCCTTATCTTTCCTTTTTACGAAAATATACTTTGCTGCACAATTAAATAGAATAAATTGAAATTTTCTTAATTTCAGATGATATCCGCATACAATGTTCAGATTTGTTCTGTATGATTTATATATATATATGCTTTAGTGTGATCTATCTAGTAGTTTTTGAGCCACTTTCAGTGTCCAAGTGGTCAAATGCGTTAGCATCTTGAATTACTTCTACTGAATAACAAAAAAAAAACACAGGGTCATTATATTTGACCAGTATCAATTATAGAATAAATTACTATTAATTGCATTCAAATGAATTATTTATCCTGATATTCAAGATAACAGGGGTCAAATTTGTTAACCTTTTAATTGATTTCCTCTGAATAACCAATAGGACACGGATGATGATATTTGACAAGTAGCATGAAGAACTACCAATTTTCTTTCAAGGAATAATTTTGAAGCGCTTTCTAGTTCACTGGGATCAGATCTGTAAAGAACCTTAAATGACTTCTGTTCATTATCCAGAAGGATTTGGGATTACAACGTTTGTACAGCTGAATTACCTTGTTTGTGATAAAATCTTGTAAACAGATTGTTTTGAATCACCAGGAACCGCACGCTTGATACTAAACCTGTAACTTTATTTAGTCTATTAAGTGTATTTGACTTTGGTCCACTTTCAATCTAATAACAACAAGAAAGCGATAAAGGACGTTTGACTCTTGATAAACAAATTCAAAGTTATTATCATACAGCCATATATTATAACAACAGTGGTATAGCAAAATGATCCGAGTAAATGGTATAACGTATACGAATAATAAAACAATATAGAGATCACGTAAAAGTAGCATTGACGCTCATTTACAATGAACGTCTACAGTAAATATCTTTTCTTACAACAAGTTCTCATTCCCCGTGCATCACAACACCAAAAACTACAAACGCCAACACGATAGAGACATGCGGAGACATCAATGCTGATGACAGCACGACCATCAGGCCGATAAATCCGATAGTGGCACGTCTGGCCTGGACTCAATGGGTACGTATAGTGCTTAATACACTGCATATAACTCGACACTCGGGCCTGTAAATCCGATAGTGGTACGTCTACCAACGATGTATTGGGTTACGTATAGTTAGGCATATAAACTACATATGTCACGATCCCCGGGGCCCGTAAACCCCACAGTGGCACGTCTGGCCTGGACTAATTGGGTTATATATAGTAAGCTTTATAAACTACATATGTCACGATCCCCGGGGCCCGTAAACCACACAGCGGTTCGTCTGGCCTGGACTTAGTGGGTTACGTATAATTAGGTTTGTATGCTTCATAGACTGACAAATGAATTTAGTATTTTGGTACTTACAGATGTTCTTCTGATTTTGCCTTTGAAACATATAAATGTTTATTATGAAACATATATTTGTAATTACATATGTAGGCGGTTATATATGTAGTGTATATAGACACGTATGATGGGTGCAGCTAAAGGATTGCGGTGTTAATCTATCAGATATGATATTGTGTTATTTATTGATATGATATACTTCAAAAGGAAAGAGTTGACTAAAGGGGTTTGTTATTTATGGATTATTTTTAAAACAATACTAGTCTGATATGTTGACATACATGTACAATTAAAATTTTGACAAACAAATATTGATTTATTAAAGAATACATATTTACAAACATTGGATATTGATATACAAAAACACAAAAAAACACTTTTAAGAATGTAAATCATAAATACATGTATTCTATATTTAATGATGTTTGTAAATAATGCTCCTTTTTATGGAAACAGGGCAGGACAACCGTGTTTGTAGAGATACAAGATGATGACAATCATCATCATGACGTCATAGATCAGCTTACAACGTCTCATGATATAACACCTAGTCCGTCCCTGGCCAAGGCGACCCCCACAGTCATAGCCTTGCATAACGTAGTCAGGTAGTGTATGTAACAAACAAATAATACGTGATGTATAAGATAAAAAAAAAATGTTTTCCATGAAGAAGGGGTTGCTTATCATACTTATCTTACTCGAATTAGTTCCTTTTCCAATTTCATAATGACAGTCCTCTTTTCATAATTTGGATAAACATAAAATCAACAACTATCAGGGGTTTGGATGAAAAAGCAATAGTTTCTGTCTGGAATACATACATTCTGTATGATGACGCATTTCATTGTGCGTCTTTTTTTGTAGCTATTAAAAAGGCTCATATTGTCACGTGTGTTTGAAGCTAAATGTTCGTCGCTTTCACTGCTTGGTACTACATGACTTGGGAATAGTGAAACACATAAACACATCCTCCATGTAAATCTAGGTCATTTCAAATTTATCAAAGTGTTAACAAAACAATATGGCGAAAACAGTGAGCGTTACAAAAACGTCGATTGTCATATCGCACGAGTAAACAGGTATTTCTCATTACGATCAAGATGCTGGCAATCAAACTTAGCCGTAGACTTTTTCAACGTGCAACCCCCTCCAATCCTGTGTTACAAGTATGTTGCATGGCTATGTCCATTAGCTTAATGTTCTTTGTCACTTCAGCGGTTCTTGCTTAAGATTACTTGGATTCGACCTTGATTTACAAGGTGGATATCGTCGATGAAGCAGAGGACGCTATTGTGACGTGAAGATATATATATATTCAATATTGTACTTTTGTTTTGTCGATTTTTCGTTCGACCTGCGGATTTTAATAGTCAACACTGTTACCTTAGAACTTTAGGTATGGTGTATGCTTGATATGTATGGCAGTAACTGTGGAAAGTGGAATGCTCTTGTTGTTTGTTTTACAGTGTTACCTTAGAACTTTTGGTATGGTGCATGCCTGATATGTATGGCAGTAACTGTGACGTACGTTGTGTGGAAAATCCCAGGATGCATTGCAATAAAACAACAGGACAGCCGTTTTGTAAACAGGGTAAGATCAATTTTCTAGATGCATCCACAGATAATTACACTAGTTGTAGACAATTTGTTGTATCATTATCAGTTACCCCCCCCCCCCCCCCCTTAAGATATAAAAAACACGAAAACCATAACAAAATATTTACCTGTTTGATTTGACTTCGTCATGACATATGATACGATGTCATACATGTATATTTAATAAACCATACATCCTGTATTAACCTTTTACTCTCGAATTAACGAATTTTAATGTTTTCATCATCTTAAGCATTAGTTCAATATCATTTAAACTTTAAAGTTCGATCTTAGACACTTAAACTGCTTATATATATATATATATATATATATATATATATATATATTGAATTTGAATGTATTGGGATCTATCTGATTTGTAAGTGCGCTTCAGGATGAAGATAAGTCCCCTATTATGATTTTGACAGGTTGGACTGGTGCGACCTGCACGTCCTGTAGCCAGTCATTGTGCCACAACCACGGAAACTGTACTGCAGGACATAACGGACAGACTACGTGTGTCTGTACTCAGGGCTGGACGGGACAACAGTGTGAGCAGGACATCAATGAGTGTCATAACAGTAACTCATGTCATCACGGTGGGGTGTGTAATAACACAGCTGGATCCTTCAGCTGTAAATGTACCGATGGTTGGCATGGACATGCGTGTTCTGATGACGTCAACGAATGTACTACACTACACCCATGTACACACGGCGTGTGCAGTAATACACCGGGAGGGTACACGTGTTCTTGTCCACTTTACTGGACAGGACAGAACTGTTCATCTGTGCTCGATAGATGTCAACCTAAAAACCCGTGTGAAAATGGAGGCACGTGTACCAATGCACCCACTGACTTTAACTGTTCCTGCACTGCGGGTTGGAAAGGTGCAAACTGTTCAACGGAACTTGACGAGTGCCACACCGAAAGAAATCCTTGTCTTAATGGAGGTACCTGTGTTAACACGAGAGGCTACTTCAAATGTATTTGTCCATCAGGATGGACGGGACCTATTTGTACGATAGATATCAATGAGTGTAATAGTAGAACAAATGCTCCTTGTCAAAATGGTGGAACTTGCAAAAACACTCCCGGTCACTACACGTGTTTGTGTCCTCGTGCATGGTCCGGACATTTGTGCGAAATGGATGTTGACGAATGTAAGATTTCAACACCGTGTCTCCATGGCGGAACCTGCCGGAATATAAACGGATCCTTCAATTGTCTGTGTCCTACCAGTTGGTCGGGAAATATGTGTCAAAAAGTCAGAAATGAATGCAGTGATACGTTGTTGTGTAAACATGGCGGAACATGTCTTAACACAGTCGGAAGTTTCTCATGCTCGTGTATACTGGGTTGGTCGGGGCGCACCTGCGATAGTGACGTTAATGAATGCATGCCTCAGAACCCATGTTCTAATGGGGGCACCTGTCAGAACATGAACGGGAGTTTCCATTGTCAATGTCCGAGAGGATGGTCGGGGCACACGTGTGACGATGACATCGACGAATGTATTACGTTGTCTCCATGTTCTCATGCTGGAACTTGTAAAAATAAAAACGGGAGTTTCAGTTGTCATTGTTCTCGTGGTTGGACTGGACCTACATGTGAAAAAGACGTCGATGAATGCAAAACTGCAAACCTATGTCGACATGGCGGAACCTGTTTAAACACAAACGGAAGTTTCAGCTGTCACTGTCCTAAAGGATGGACGGGAAGTTCTTGTGAAACGGATATAAATGAATGTAAGTCTTCAAATCAGTGTCAACATGGAGGAACGTGTTTGAACACAAACGGAAGTTTCAGATGTCATTGTCCTAAGGGATGGACGGGAAGCTCTTGTGAAAGCGACATCAATGAATGTAAGTCTTTAAATCTATGTCGACATGATGGAACTTGTCGCAATACGAACGGAAGCTACATATGTCTTTGTAGACCCCACTGGACCGGAAGTAATTGTGAGAACGATGTTAACGAATGTGAAGCGTCAAATCCTTGTACGCACGGAGGCAGCTGTCTAAATAGTAACGGCAGCTTTTCGTGTGTTTGTCCTCATACATGGACAGGGAAGTTATGCGATACGGATGTTAACGAATGCAACTTAACAGATACGTGTCTTAATGGAGGAGCTTGTAAGAACATAGAAGGCTCTTTCAAGTGTGAATGTGCTGTAGGATGGTCAGGATCACAATGCCAAACAGACAACGACGAATGCAAAATCTTTGGAATCTGTAACAATTATGGGACGTGTCAAAATACAAATGGAAGCTTTGTCTGTCTTTGCAATAACGGTTGGAGTGGTAACACGTGTCAAACAGACATAAACGAATGTCTTATTTCCTCTCCCTGCTTAAATGGTGGAAACTGTTACAATACAAACGGTTCCTTTGACTGTGAATGTGTAAGTGGTTGGTCAGGATCTACCTGTGAGAAAGACGTAGATGAATGTGAAGACGGTGACGCTTGTCAACATAATGGAACATGCAACAATGCAATCGGAAGTTTCAGCTGTCAGTGTCGAAGGGGTTGGATGGGAGCTACATGCAATACGGACATAGACGAATGTAATTTGCCGACCCCATGTCTTTATGGAGGGACATGTCGCAATACGAACGGAAGTTACACGTGTATGTGTAGTCCTCACTGGACCGGAAGTAAATGTGAGACCGATGTTAACGAATGTGAGGAATCAAACCCTTGTAGGCACGGAGGCACCTGTCTAAACAGTAACGGCAGTTTTTCATGTGTTTGCCCTCATGCATGGACAGGGAAGTTATGCGATACGGATGTTAACGAATGCAACTTTACAGATACGTGTCTAAACGGGGGCATTTGTTACAACGCAAATGGTTCATTTACGTGCGAATGTGTTGTAGGGTGGTCGGGATCACAATGCCAAACAGACAACGACGAATGCAAAATCAGTGGGATTTGTAACAGAAATGGGACGTGTCAAAATACAAATGGAAGCTTTGTCTGTGATTGTTATAACGGTTGGAGTGGTGACACGTGTCAAACAGACATAAACGAATGTCTTATTTCCTCTCCCTGCTTAAATGGTGGAAACTGTTACAATACAAACGGCTCCTTTTCCTGTGAATGTGTAAGTGGTTGGTCAGGGTCTACTTGTGAGGAAGACGTAGATGAATGTGAAGACGGTTTTAAATGCCAACACAATGGAACGTGTCATAATACAAACGGAAGCTTTGTATGTGACTGTCCAAGTACCTGGACTGGACAAAAATGTGAGAATGACGTGAACGAATGTCACGCGACTCCGTCTGTGTGTCATCATGGAGGAATGTGTTTTAACATGAACGGCTCGTTTAATTGCGAGTGTGCTACTGGTTGGTCAGGGATGAACTGCGAAAACGACAACAATGAATGTACATTCGAAGGCATTTGTCGACACGGCGGATCCTGCCAGAATACAATCGGATCGTACCGGTGCGCATGTAGCAGCGGATGGACAGGATTAACTTGTGCAAACGATATAGATGAATGCAAAATCAGTCATCCCTGTAAAAATGGCGGAGTATGTAGGAACATTAATGGATCTTACATTTGTACTTGTTTAGGTGGTTGGAGTGGGGAACACTGTGAAAACGACATTGATGAGTGCAACATGACAACGCATTGCTACAATAACGGCACGTGTTACAACACGTTAGGCTCTTACACATGTAATTGTACTATCGGTTGGACGGGGACGTCTTGTGTCCATGATATAGATGAGTGTGCGACAATAGACCCATGCCAACATGAAGGTGTATGTCATAACACCAACGGGTCGTACACGTGCCTGTGCGCTGCTGGTTGGAAAGGAGATAACTGCACTATCGACGTAGATGAATGCGAGATTCACGGTCAATGTGGCCATGGAGGGATCTGCCACAACCGCAAAGGTAGTTATACATGTTCGTGTTCACATGGATGGAGAGGCCAGAACTGCACAGAAGACATAAACGAATGCATCATGTTCCATCCTTGTGAGAATAATGGATCGTGCACAAACGTTGGCGGAGGTTACAAGTGCTCGTGTATAGCCGGCTGGAAAGGCACTAACTGTACAAAAGATATTGACGAATGCAAAGACACAATGCCTTGTCTTCATAACGGTACATGCATAAACGGTAGAGGATATTATCAGTGCCACTGTCCGGAGGGATGGTCGGGAGACAACTGTTCTTCTGATGTTGATGAGTGCCTATTGTCAACAACTTGCTCAAATAACGGAACATGTCAAAATACGAATGGTAGTTATAAGTGTATCTGTCCACCAGGGTGGTCCGGATACGATTGTTCTAGTGACGTAAACGAATGTGGTATAGAACCAAATATTTGCGGAAACGGAAAGTGTACCAACGTAAACGGTTCGTTTATGTGTAAATGCTATACAGGATGGATCGGACACAGCTGTTCCAACGACATCGATGAATGTACCCAAGTGCCGTGTAGAAACAACGGGACATGTGTGAATACTCCCGGAAATTATTCCTGTTCCTGTTCCCAGGGTTGGCATGGCCGTGATTGTGACGCTGACATTAACGAATGTTCTGAAAGAATTTGTCTCCATGGTGGAAACTGTGCCAATTTTAATGGTGGATACTCTTGTAAATGTGTAAATGGTTGGCACGGTCACAATTGTGAAGTAGAAAAGTCAGAAACGACAACAAGCGTAATGCACTCAATAATTACAGAAATGGAAAATTCAAGTAAACCAACTGTTACAAAAGCAGTCACTGCTTTGTCAGAAAAAGTAACAATAAACAGTGCGGATACTTCGGCATACCAGGAAACAGTGACTTCGTCATCAACAGCCCCAGGCACCATAGCATCATCAGTAAAACATCAAAGATCAACTGATACGACTCAAACGTCTATTAAATCAAGTACTTTTGACTCAACCATCTACCCAGTTTCCAGTTCAACATCGTATAAAGCAACTAACTCCGGTTTAACATCACGCGAATCAACATCCGGATCAACGAAACATGGATCAACGACTATAACTGCAACGTCCAACAACCCAACAACCTCTGGATCAACGACACATAAAACAACAAGCGTCAGTGCAACTTCCAGCAAACCAACAACCTCTGGATCAACGACGCAAAAAACAACAAGCTTCAGTACAACTTCCAACAAACCAATAACCTCTGGATCAACGATACATAAAACAACAAGCGTTAGTGCAACGTCAAACAACCCAACAACCTCTGGATCAACGACACATAAAACAACAAGCGTTAGTGCAACTTCCAACAAACCGATACCATTTAGTCGAACGTCGCAAAACCCAATAACTTCTGTTAGAAGTACAGGTAAGGAAGCGACCGGTTCGAGTAACACAGCATCGCATACAGCAACTCCTACGTTCATGAGGACAGAAGGTAGACAGGATCCGGTCACAACAGCGCCAACCAGAAAGACAACTATTTTCTCTGATACGAAAGCGACCGAAAATAACAAAGGTAATTAGCCTCAAATACTGTTTATATTTTTTTTCTACATATAAAACGATACTTAATTAGACATTTTTATGATCTTGTTGGGTTACCTAATCTACATTGTAGCTTGAATTGCAAATAATATTTCCGAGAAACTAGCCCTGTTTAGCAGTATACCCTTTAACAGTATTTAAAAAAATCTGAATGTGTTAGCTAAATCACCCTGTATACAATATATATACACCCTCATTTAAGTATCTTAATAACCCTTTGTATATTATACAGAAAGATAGTTCATATTGTCTTTGTAGGGCGGGCTTGGAGATAAACAGTAGTCTCGTGTTCTTCTTTCAAGAGTAGATAAGTTTATATGTTTGGCATCAAGGCTGGTGGAACATGTCAATTAAGGCAACACTGATAACAATCATAGGTGGTTTAGATTTTGTTTATAAGATAGTAATTAATCGAAATTGGTTCTATAAATTCATTTGATTTGAAGGCTTACTTATTTCTTTCAAATCGAATTGAATGTTAATTGTATTATAATCGAGTATTATATAGTTTGCGTAAATATAACCGATATGATATATATAGGATTAAATAAGTCTAACAAATTGTAACTTTGAAAAGGACGGTTAACAAATTAGTTATATTTGAACCTCCGTATCAAGGACAAAGCAGACTTTATAATTCATTAGATAAAAATAAAAGGAATCAATGCTTCCGTATGCTTAGTCCGAATTATTCTGACGTATAATCGACTTTTTTTTATATCGGTCTGTCGTCGATTAACGTCAGAACTCCGGCCCTCTATAATATGCGGGAAATAAGCGACCCGCGCCTGAGTCGCACTTCAAACTGATATTTTAGAAACAAATCGTCACCTTCACACACATGTCGCACATGGGTCGAAAGATCTATTCTTTATGCACTAGGTGGTATCAATAACATGTTTCAAAGATCATTACGAACAGTATTTTCCAACGTTTGCTATGCCAACCCATGTTTTTAATGGAAATTAGGGCATGGGCAATGTCACATGACTTGACGAGATCTCGCGTTACCGAAGGTATTTTCCAAACGTTATGACGTATGCCGGCGAGAGTTTAGGCACGTGGCATTAGAAGGCAGGGCTATCAAAAAACTAGAGTAAAACAGAGTAAGTTTGAAAAAATATGTTTTTAGTGATTGTATTTGTTGTTTGAGGCATGTACTTTATGTTCATCTTGTGCATAAAGAATATCAGTTTGAAGTGTAACCGGGCGCGGGTCGCTTATTTCCCGCATATTATAGAGAGCCGGAGCTCTGACATTAATCGACGACAGACCGATATAAAAAAAAGTCGATAAAACGTCAGAATAATTCGGACTACCGTATACTATGACCTCATCAAATTCGATTTTGAAAGTCTGCTGTCCTTGTCATGACCACCCTATTTGCTACTCTTGATCACCATATTTACCCTTATACAAAAGGTGCGTTACCTAGCTGATGTCTTTTTCTGCGTCACAGAATACGTATCACTGACGTTTGTGGGGAGTGGAAACGCTTCTGTGTCGGTGTTACTTACAGCAGGCGTGAATGCTCTCGTTGGACGCATCTGTGTACATGGGACACCAAACATTAAACAGATACATTACACGTACGGCAAAAGTTCTTCTTGTGAACCAAATATCTGGTACCATCTTCGTAAATACTTACAGAGACACCTTGTTATAATTCTGGTCTTTAATCATTATCTGTATTTTCGATATTTTATGTCAATGCAATTGAACACTTTAAGATAAATATAATGATTCAGTTGATATTGTCACATATATTATAGTGTTTTGATTTGGATCTTGTGACCCCTGTGTTTTCGATATTTTGTATCAATATAATCGAAATATAATTATTCAATTGAGATAATCAAATATGTTAATAGTGACTTAATTAGTTTTAGATCTTGTGATCCCTTGATATTATTTTGATTTCAGTGGAGGTCATGCTCGATGTCATATAGAGTTTACTGCCACTTGTGGCGACCGACCTGTGGTCCAGACCCAGGTCGATACCGCCATTAACATGGACGCTTCCGTACAGACAATGTTTCCACTGCCTCTCCTTCATACCAAATCCCCGGAAACGCCTGCACCAGCCAAAGTAAGAATTACATCACGATTAATAGACCATAGATCTGGATCGTTTTACTAGAAAAATGTTAACACACATTTGCCAGACACCGAAGATCCCGAGACGATGATTCCGAGATAGAAATAATAAGCTGCTGAGGTTATTTACAATGTACCAACTTGGAGTTATACTTTTATGTCATACACAGAGAGAGAGAGAGACATTGATTGACAATTATTCTTCCCTAAGTTGTCTTAAATTAACGTAAACAGACATTTTCGATAGACAGATTGGTTGCTTTTTGTGTCAATCTCCCAGTTATAGATTCCTCTATACCGTTAATGCTGTTAACAAATAAGGTGTTTTACGTTCCTCTCCTTCTGTTTCAACAGTCGTTAAGGCCAATGGACTTCTAACATTTAGGCCCTAGTATCTCTGACGGATGCAGTGTCATACATTTTCGGCATTCTGTACCTATTAGCATTTTTTTGTGGGTGTGTTTCGTTCATTTTTCTGTCTCTACAGAGCATTGAGACACGCGACTTACGCATTCTGTTTAAAACTGTTACGTCAACAAGCTTCGATGAGGTCTGAGATGGGCAGGGGATAATAACACCTGTGATATTTGCCCACTTGTACCTTCTTGGGTATTCAAAAATTAACATAAATCTCCGTTGTTTCAATTGTGACAAAACGAGTCATGGCGTCACGGACTTTGATTGCATTGTGACGCCAGATAAAGAAAAAGTTAACAGTCAATTATCAATCATTCTTTCTATTTCACTTCAACTTGAGGCAGTTTAATTTCATGGATATTTCCAACAACCAATCATGGCTTTTCCATAGAAGAATTATGAACTTGTTAGTTGCAGCTTTCCTGGAGCTCGTTAGAAGTTTAAAATAAATAACTATTCACCTTCCACTCGTTTCATAAATCTCATGTGATAATGGATATAAATGGGAGATCATCTACTTATAGAATATATATGTCTTTGACTTAAAGTTACATGTACATATCCCGAAAATATTTCATTACATTGACGTTGTGAACAATAATTACGGCGCGAGGCCAACGGAAAGAATGCATTTTGCCACATAGGCGACATCACTGATTAACCTGGAAAAAAGAGTCAACAACATGTAAGAAATACAAAGAACCTAGCTGGGATTACTAGTGTCATACAAAAGTTGAATTACTATATATAAGTCGATAGTGTACTACGTATTTACATTATACTTCAAGTCATTTTTTTCTTTTTTGATAAACTTGTAATAAGTGTGAAATAACAGTTTTAATCAAAACTAGCCACTTCATATGTATTATTATAAAATACAGGTAGATACATTAGTTTGACCATGCACAGGTATATTTACACTTCAGCCGTGTTAGTTAATATTTTACCTGGTATTTGATAGCTATGAGCTCGTATTTATCAGAGACTTCGGGGCTATGGGTTGATGTGTTACCTGTGTTTTGAGAGCTATATATATATGGAAATCAATTATTTGTAGTTTCCTGGCTAAAGGCTTATGTTTCAGTGTTGTTTTAGGGCTATGTGTTAATGTGTTACCTGTGATTTGAGAGCTATGGGGAAATCATTTATTTGTTGTTTCTTGGCTAAATGCTAAAGTTTCAGTTTTGTTTTAACGCTTTGGGATAATGTGTTACCTGTGATTTGATAGCTATATGGAAATCAGTTATATGTAGTTTCTTGGCTGAAGGCTAATATTTCAACGATATTTTAGGGCTATGTGTAAATGTGTTACCTGTAATTTGACAGCTGCGGGGAAATCATTTAATTGCTGTGTCTTGGCTAAAGGCTAATATGCCGCTGACCTATAAGAGAGCTCGAAAGCTCGCAGATGACAGTTATATATTGGTTTAGTATTTACCTGTGTTTTTTAGAGCTGGTTTGTTAGCAATTGGCCTGTGTTAGTCGGGGCTGGAGCTGGTGTCCTGGTCCTAATGACAATCATTGTTATTCTGTATAAACGAAGCAGACACAGGTAACGTATATCATCCATATTGTAATATAAATTGTATTCTACTTGTTAACACTTGTCAAATGTTACAAGTACCCGCCTTGTAATTTGCTATTCACTTGGCAATTTCAAAGAATGTGTTTTGCTCTAAATATTAAAAGAGACATGCCATGTGCAATTTTTCAATTAATCCTCATTTAGAATCTTTGAAGTAACAAAATAGTAGTAAAAAATGAGAAATGTCTCAGTGGCTAAATTCATGTAACATGAGGCGACGTCTGATTCCCAAATCGTAACAAAGGAGACACGCTTTGACTTCCCGAACTTAATACAAATCATCAGCGTACAAAATATATTTAAACATATTCCATGAATTCAGTATGTTTCGTTTGTTATTTTTTTCTACCAGGAGAAGAGAATCCACTGTGTTAGACGATAGCATTGGCTTAGAGAGACGCACCTCAACAATAAAACTCATGAACAACCCTGTGTATGACACTTACACCACTAACGCGTAGCATAATAGGCCGGGCCTGGTATATCTAACATAGGTGGATAGGCCGGGCCCGGTTTTCTAGCCAGTCTGGTGTGGATAGTAATCTAACATTTGGGGATCACGTTGTCCAGGACACTAGCCATGGTGAATTTGTTGGACCATAAGTCTTTCACAGGAAGAGCGATACAGTGGTTGAGTTTCTTATGACTGATAATTTAACCAATTTTGTTATATACTTTATACATTTATATATCCTTGAAATATGTTGCAGTGGATTAATTGCCAAAGACAAATTTAACTGAATACAATGTACAAGCAATGGCGATAGACATTAAATCCGTAAATGGTTGATGGTGCTTTACGTTCTGTTATGAAAAAAATCTAGGAAGTGAAGTGAAGACGCACCTTTCTTCTATAGGTCAAGTCATCAAAGCGGTGATTGTTTGGCTATGCTCACCCTCTTGTTGGAAATGTAAGTAGTAGTTTGTGATATATTCCGATATTAGATATTTTGTTGTCAACTTTGTCCGTCCTTTTTGGATTTTGTACGCGTGAGTCTTTTGTTTAATGCAGGTGTAATTGACGACGACGACGACGACGACGATGATGATGATGATTTGTTTTGTGTGTGTGTGTGGATTAGTGGTGCATGTGTGTTCATGTCTGTCAAATCCTAGAAAATATTTGAATGAAATATATTAAAGTTTTAAAAAAGAAGAAAAAACATGTTACGTTATGCTACTACAGCGGTATATGATCTGTTTCTACTGACTGTCTGTCTACAGCATGTATCTATGATGTATTACGACGATTATTTAGATGCAAATGTGCTACTCAGTGTCATGTGAAATCCCAGGTAAATAAGAAAAATCATACATGTGCTCAAATTGATATTAGGAACTAGTGAATTTACAAATGTAAGAGTGGTACGGAAAATAAGGGGACGAGCGCAAGCCTCTGTCTATATAATATTTACCTCCACTCCGAGGGCTCCTCCCTGCTTGGGGTGGCGCCCAATAGTGCTGACATCACCATCTCACGGGCTGGAGGTAAGGATTACATAGACAGTGACTTAATCCCATCCACTTAGTTCATCTACTACTTGTAAGAATCAAGATGTCAAGTATCATGATCATATTTGTGAAGATAATGAACTGTGATCAATGTGAACTAAAACAAGGAACACTTTAATAAAAAAAATGGTTGATTGTTATTGTTATGTGATTGTAAAAATAATCAACTTTAATAAACAAGAACATATGTTACAGTCACAATTAGAGTGATTGGAAAGCTGGTTGGAGCTTGTGGTCGTTTTTTCAGTATATGAATACTATTTTAAGTAGCCGAGTTTGTTTCAGTTGTACCCATATAACACCGTCTGTTTGTGAGAACTCGGTGAACTCGTGATGGGGGTATCTAGTGTATGAACTGTACGTTTGTACTATAAATAAGACATGTGACAAGTTACGTATGACTTTTAGCCAGAGATCACACCTAACACGAGATCACACAGACAAAGGTCCAGCCCTTCTGTACCAGAACGCGTACAATACGGGACACAATCAGTGATAATCTGCTTGTTGGCCTCATTGATTACCAGTACAACTCCACCGTTCTAGAACTCAGCCGTTATAGTGTAAACTTTGCTGGTCGTTATCATCGTTATCTTTGAGTGAACTTGACAAGTGGTTTGAAAGTACTACTGCGGTAGGGTCCGCTAAACAAGGGAAGCAACTCTTATACATAGGTATGACAAACTGTTTAAGTTAAAACCTATTCGGAAAGATTTCGGTACACCACGGAATTAGATTATTGTTATCTAAGTCCGTGGGTACACTTACTGATTACGTTTACCAAGCATAACTTACCTCATACGAGGACTTAGCTACATTTCTTATGTAACTGTTAAAACGGGATGTGTTTGTTTTTGAGTTTGTTACTTCACGGTATTATGAGGCTAAATAACGTTTGTGCTACTTCAAACTTGTTTATATTCATGATGTATATAGTGATACATGCCTTTTTCCATATCACATCCAGTATCAAACCGAGGGCTGATATTGGTAGAGGGTTGATACCGGGTGTGATTTGGAAAAAAGGCGCGTTTTATTCTGTTTATTACAAACTTACTAATAAAAACTACTATCTTATGATCTATTTTTCTTTTGAAATATTGAAAAACGAAAAATTTCCAAAGGGGGCGTGATACGGGTTTTGCGGGCTGATACGGGTTTTGGGGTGTGATACGGCGAGGGCTGATATGGGTTAGAGCAATTGTGTCATATCGCATATACACAAAAAAACGTATTTATTAGCAAGTATATAATAAACCCAAACTACACAATTTCACAACAGACTGAAACGTTAATTTTAATACCAAACCTACATAATTCCGCAATGCATCGTCAACTTTTTAATACAATATATATTTAATATAATTGTGACACAATTTGTAGACTTTTATATATATTTGTAAAATTTTATATATATTCATCTTAATACCCGGGTGACACAATTATCTAACTGTTTAATATATTCACCTTGATAATAAAGTCAACTTTATATATATATATATTAAATAGATTGATCTTAATACAAAAGATACGTATTTTGACAGCTAGTAAATAGATTTATCTTAATACAAAAGAAACGCATTTTGACAACTATTTTTTTATATCTTAATACAAAAGAAAAGTATTTTGACAACTATTAAACATATTTATCTTAGTTCAAAAGAAACATAATTTGACAACTACTAAATAAACGTATCTTAATACAAAAGAAACATAGTTTGACAAATGCTAAATGTATATATCTTGATAAAAAACATATTTTGACAACTCTTTAGCACCTTAAACGGTGAGTAAAGGGAGGTAACTCGTAAATATCGTGCTTCACTTCTTTAAAAGCGCATCAAACAATGCAAATTGGAATAAAAGATCGTAACTGGACTGTTTTTAATTCCTTTTGTGATAAAAGCTCAACTCCCAGTGTAATGGCATATGGTGAGTTCATCTTTTACTTATTATTAAGAAGCTTCCGTTTTAAATATTTCAGTAGTTGTTGAGAACATAAGTATACAACTTGTGGAGATCGAAACAAAGCTGTAAAGTGTAGAATGTGAATGTGAAAAAGAATGGATTATTGTCCTTGTCACATGTAGGTTTGGGAAATTTCTGGTAAACCTACCAACTTGTAGTTCATGTTTATACTTGTTTATCTAGGCTAATTTAATGAAATGCGAAAATATAATATGTGTAGGTCTCATGTGACTGTATTTTTTCTTAGAACCAAATACAGGTTGATAATCAATCCAGCTGTGTTGATACAGGGTACCTCCTACACGTACTATTGAAGTAGACGATGAGCCTCATGTCCTTTCTATACATGTATGTCAAGAGTTTACTTGTCTTTAATTTTTTAAAGTCCCGTTGAATTCTGGATTCAACAGGTAAAATACTCGATATTTTCATTGTCTCATCACAATGGTGTTGAGGTCACTCCAAAATAATCGCCTTTTCGTACATATCAGCCTCGGTGTTACGTGTTGAGGTCACTCCAAAATGATCGTCTTTTCGTACATATCAGCCTCGGTTTTACGCGTTGAGGTCCCCGCCTAATAAATATCGTTTCAGCCTTGGTGCAAGGTGGATCCATAACAGGAAATGATTGTTGACCATGTCACATGATTGATATAACGAATAACCATCCTTGTGCACTAAAACAATTTCATGAATACAGGCCCTGGTGTTTTATTTTTGTGAGTATTTAATCAAGATTGATTTTTTTTGAAGTGCACAATACATATCTCCTGAAAACGTAATGGTCGTTTTTCGAAAGCTTACACGCAAAAGCACTTTCCTCATTTACAGCAAGGGAAAATTATCTTATAGTTTTCTTCTGATTTCCCTTTTTGTTAGTGCGAAGTGCATATTGCCGGGTTTTTTTTACACAGGGAATAATTTTATATGCAGATGCTAGTAGTTTTAACAACTGGCTTTCCTTTTAAACTGATACGTTGACTAAACACTAGTTTGCTGGAATTGTTTCCTCTATTACTACGTGTAAATTATTTTCCACCTGTTTTTATTTTTTGTATTTCTTAATGATGTTTCTCAGGGTTTTTTCTTCTGGACTTCTGTAATTTGCTTGCTTTTTAATACCAAAATAATATTGCGTCCCTGAGTGTCAATCGGTTGCAACATCAGTAATGTGTTACGTATTTTTTCTGGAGTAAATTACAAGGTTCCAAAATTTGATTTGTGTTTATTCCACATGCCTTACAGTGCTCTACAGGTTTGCGGTGCTGCTACATGTATGAGCCAGCAACAGGGCCGGTATTCGTGAAACCGTTCACATGCTCAAGCAAGGATTCCGTGCTCAAACCAGAATTCTTGTAACTCGCTTAAATCATGTGACACGGTCTTTCAGTAATTAATCATCAGAACAAGAAGTTGGGCTTCGGCACGGAGTCTGAGTTTGAGCATGAGAACAGTTGCATGAATACGGCCCCAGGTTTCAGCTATTTATATATCGTACTACTTAATAGGTTATTTTATCATTATTGTTTGCACTCAAGTTCTCAGACAGATAATAATACATCTTTCTCCTAAACAGATACACCTCAAGGTAACGTTCTCCTACATACACCTGCTTCAGTCATAAGTAGTGCTTCGGCTTAATGGAATGACCAGTGTTTGTTGGTTCTTAAAAAGATCTTCACTTGGTGAAATGCTTTCTTTACCAAAGCTAATTACATTTTGACTGCTGAATTTCCCTGTAAACCAATGCTTTCTCCGTTAAAGGATCTATTTAGTCAAATAAACCCCTTTGAATTGATTAGATTCTGAAAATAATACCTACTTACGAAATTCAACGTACATTTAGTTGATAACGACACGACCTAAAGCAAACTTCCAGTGTGATCAGTTTTTCCTTTTGGAAAGCCGGCGATAAATATAGCCACGACCGAAATAGCGCAATATCCGGGCCTTTCATTGAGAAGATCGACCGCACTTGCGCAGTACACTGCAAGCAAGAATTATAATTACCACATTATAAATCTAAAGAGATATTTCTGCTCACAGATGGATTCGAATAAAAAGAAATAGGTTTAATTGGAACACGCACACAAGAGTGAGCCGTAGAGAGCAGTTCAAATCCCACGACGTACGATATGAGTAGGTTTAGATGCTATTGAAGAAGTTTGCTGAATAAAGCTAGAATTTACCTACTCTCCTCGGCTGGAAAGGCATATTTATAAGTTAAAAACTCACGGACAGATGCCGCTAAAACGTATGGTCGTACAGTTAAGGATTTCTTCACACAGATTAGGAAGGCCAAGAAAGCATTGACACAGGAAAGGTTTAAAACATGAATTTAATCTCTGCTGACTTTACTTCATTAATACATTGTTTATGATAAATTGTAATAATTATGTAACATAGAAATATAAATATAATTTAATAAATGTAATGATACGTATTTAGGTTAATAGGTGTACACGTACAAAGCAGTTTATATGTAATACGTATCCAACGAACGCTGTTTGTCCGGATCCAGTGCCCATTATATTGGATCATACTGTCGTTATTACATAGGAGACCTATGACCGTACTTGCATCGTATATTGTTACACGTAGGTCCTGTCTTATCTGTCCACTATGGATCCAGCCTCTATTTGTAAGATCGCTTTGTTGTACAATGTAGTGACTGTTTATCCGTGTTATATGTTGTGATATGTAAGGGGTGGATCGTCCAGAAAGTTTGACAAACTCCTTTGAATGAACTGTCGTTATTACTTATACATTTACAACACTACACAGTATGAAGCTACGTTTTACAATAAAACATTAAAGAGTACAAAAATACGTACAAATGTTCTGGTATCCAAATAATGTACACGGTGCAAAACCTATGTCTGAGGGGTGGGGAGTATTGTCAGGACTGTTACCTCAGGCTGGATGGGGAGTATTGTCAGGACTGTAATCTCAAACTGGGGTGAGAGGATGGGAATGATGTGCACTTTTTACGACTCTTTACAATTATGAATTCTGCCAATGAATTTCTATAACATACGGTCGGTTGCCACTTAATATATATATATATTTTTTCAAACATTGACAATGTTGCCCTTCAATTCAAGATGTTATTAATTATCAATAAGGAGACATTATAATAACATTAAAATGTAAGAAAATGGATTTTGACCCAAATATCACTTTTGGTTTTCCCACGAATTGTGTCAAACGTTTAGGTACCATTCTCTCCCTTTAGCTGTTATGCAGGAACTGTACAGCTGCCAAATGTCCCGTTCCAACGGTCTTTGTAGCCACTGCGCCACCCGACAAATTTTCATATAATTCCTTAAAAGGTGCTACATGCAAAAACAAAATTACTTTTTTTAGTTAAACCGGACATTTATAAATGTATAGTTAATTGTACCCATTAGCTTTGTATCAATTACTGCTGATGTGATATTTCTGAGATGTTGTTACGAGGTGTCTGATATCTCTGAGATGTTGTTACGAGGTGTCTGATATCTCTGATATGTTATTACGGGGTGTCTGATATCTCTGAAATGTTATCACGAGGTGTCTGATATCTCTAAAATGTTATCACGAGGTGTCTGATATCTCTGAGATGTTATTACAAGGTGTCTGATATCTCCGAGATGTTGTTACGAGGTGTCTGATATCCCTGAAATGTTATCACGAGGAGTCTGATATCTCTGAGATGTTGTTACGAGGTGTCTGATATCTCTGAAATGTTATCACGAGGTGTCTGATATCTCTGAAATGTTATAACAAGGTGTCTGATATCTCTGAAATGTTATCACGAGGTGTCTGATATCCCTGAGATGTTAATACAAGGTGTCTGATATCTCTAAAATGTTATCACGAGGTGTGTGATATCCCTGAGATGTTATTACAAGGTGTCTGATATCTCCGAGATGTTATTACGAGGTGTCTGGTATCTGTAAACTGTTATTACGGGGTGTCTGGTATCTCTAAAATGTTATTACGGGGTGTCTGATATCTCTGAAATGTTATCACGAGGTGTCTGATATCCCTGAGATGTTAATACAAGGTGTCTGATATCTCTAAAATGTTAATACAAGGTGTCTGATATTTCTGATATGTTATTACGATATGTTAGTTATAATTATTGTGTTTTTGTCTGATATATAATAACGACGTTTCTTTTTGTAACTACGATGTCTAGTTGTTGTTACTATATTTGTCTTTTAAATCGATGCGTGTCATACACTTATTTATAAATACCTATATGTACAAAGAGCAGGCATGCCATGTGACCTATATATCGTACCTGAATAATGACGGTTTGCGTAGTCGTCACGCTCGATAGCGCTACAAATCCATTATTTAGATCGCACCAAGTAGTCTGTAAGCCCGAGATCAGTTTACCTGTGTGTTTCGGAACACCGTCACTAGATGTCGCTCCTACATGGTAGGCAACCACGGACGCTCTGGCCCTGAGCCAACATGACTTCCCTTGAACGGTTTACCTTCCTGCTAATGGAGGCTTGGACATAGGCTCCGTCTGACCACAGATTACGTAAAGTCCAGTGGCCGTACGTGCTGTGGGCGTGCTAACAACACCCCCCAGACTGGGTGTTAACGCAGGGTAATCATGGGACAGACCGAAAGAGGATCTTCAGTGGGATATGCCTAGGGCTGTTATTGACATTTAATAATACGGATACATCATACACTTCCAAGATGTCGGACGTCCAGCCCTTGATCGCTCTGCTGGAGATTATGCTCAATCTCTCCACCCCCCGGAAATCAGCAGTAAAGCCAGGGGGTCACCCAGAAAACATATTTGTCGATCTAACGGAGGAGGAGAAAGAGGGGTTTGAATGTTCAATATGGTGAGTATGATTGGATAGATATAAACCTCTGTATATACCCCAGGGTAAAAATTTAAGCTCGGACAGGGATTTATACATAAACCTCTGTATATTCCCCGGGGGTAAAGCTCGGATAGGGATTTAGATATGCATTCATGTACCTCTGTATATACCCCGGGGGTAAAGCTCGGATAGGGATTTATATATATACATCTGTATATACCCCGTGGGTATGTGTCTAAGTGTAATCATCCTCCGAGGTTGAAGGCGGCTATGTACCTTTTTTGTTTTAGTAACGGTGGGTGTAAATATAACCACAGGGGGTACAGATTCTTTAAATATTTACCCCGGGATGAAATGATACATGTACACGCAGTACAGGTTGTAAACATGACTGCTTTACATGTCCCTGGTAATAATGACTAACCCCAAATCAATGTTTACATATAGCCATAGACTATATATATCCCAGGGGTACATGTCACTGATCACTGAATGTATACATGTGTCCCGGGGTCACTGTACATTAGATTCTTTCCCGGGGTACACGTCATTCTAAATATATATCAGGGTTGAGAGGGGGG